CCTCCTCCTCAGGTGAGCTCTAGAAAGCAGTGGTCCTCAAAGCACGGTCCACAGAACCTGAGGGAACCCCAAGACCCTCTCGGCTGTTCTGTGGGGTGAAACTATATTCATAACAAAACTTAGGCACGGTCTGCCTTTTTGATGGTGCTGGTCTTCGCATTGATACTGCAAAAGCAATGAGGGGCCAAGCTGCTGGTGCCCGAGCAGGGACCGAGAGAATGGCACCAAGGAAGATCCTTCATCATCGCACGCTTCTTCACCGCACAGTGAACGAACAAGTGCCAGCTTTACCTAAGAACATCCTTGACGACACAGTAAAAATTAAGCCTCAATCCGCAGTACGTCTTTTTAAGAGTCTGTGTGACAAAGTACATATAATGCTTGTGTGGCATACAGAAGACGACGGTTGTCTCAGGAAAAAATCATCTGAATTGCAAAAATCTGCAGAACACCATGTTTACTTGAAAGACTGAATGGCACACAAATGGTGGGTTAGTCAGACTGTGGTACTTGGCAGGTATTTTCTAGGGAGGGAAAAAACCCCAAAGCCTGTCACTTCAAGGAAAACAACTGACAGTATTTGTTGCCAATAATAAAATTTGAGCTTCCAAGGGAAAATTAGAATTTTGGCAAAGTTGTCTCTGCCACCATGACCTTGAGAGTTTCTCTATGCTTAACTATTTTCCTCCTGAGTAGGGTGACAATGACTTTTCAATATTGTATAATAAAATGTGACAGCATTTGGAAGATCTGCATAATTCAGTGAATCTGTATTTTCCAAACACCTCTCACACAATGTTACTGAATCATGCATAGGTAAGAGAGCAGGTCAATGTGAAAGACAACCAATGGTGAGGCACAGGTCTTAGGCAGCTGGGCCAACTGACCTGTGGGGCGATCGAGGGGATTTAGGCCACACACCTACACTCTCAAGCCACTGCCACCATGGCCAGTCAGTTGCAGGGCATCCAGCAGCTGCTGCAGGCCGAGAAGCAGGCTGCTGAGAAGGCGTCCAAGGCCTGCGAGTGAAAGAACCAGAGGCTGAAGCGGACAGAAAGAGGCACAAGTTGAAATTGAGGAGCACCACCTGCTGAGGGAGGAGTTCAAGACCAAGGAAGCTGCGGCTCTAGGATCCCACAGCAGTTAGAGCACTGAAGTGGAGGACACGCATGAGAAGATGCCCATCTTCCAGACCTACTTCCGGCAGAACAGGGATGAACTCCTGGATAACCTCTTAGCCCTGGTCTGCAACATCTGGCCAGAAAGCCATGAAAACTAATGTATAAATGGGTAAGAGAAGAAGAAAGAGCACCTGTTTCCTGGATTGGCATGTTAGATGTCTCCATGGACTACAAAGCTTTTGCAAAGCTTGAGTTATATTCTTGTGGAAAGGCATTAAATTGCTATCTGTATATTACATAGTAGGTCCTTGTACTTTTTGAGAATAGCAAATCTAGCTTCTCTGTACAAACTCAGAACTTACCCAAAGGTTTCATCTTTTTACCTCATATTTCTTAAAAATTTAATGGATATACATTGTTTATTTTTCCTATGCCTTTAGCTCAAGCAACATATATGCATATATGACAATCCTATTTTCTCCTTCTTAGATATAGTAAGAAACACTTTCTTTTTTAAGAAGGAAAGGGATTAAAATTTTTCCCCCCTAAAGCTTCCTTGGAGGCCAGGGGCTTTATCTATCAAAAAGTAGTAAATAGCAGCTACTGTGTAAAGCAGCAATCGGCCTTAAAATAGTCCTTTCTGGCCCTGGCTGGTGTGGCTCAGTGGATTGAGCACTGGCCTAAGAACCAGAGGGTCACTGGTTTGATTTCCAGTCAAGGGCACATGCCTACGCTGCAGACCAGATCCATGGCTGGGGGCGTGCGAGAGCAACCACTCATTGATATTTCTCTCCCTCTTTCTCCCTCCCTTCCCCTTTCTCTAAAAATAATTAAATAAAGGCTTTTTTAAAAAAGTAGTCCTTTCTGGCTAAGGTTGGAACAATGAATACTAGTTTAATTGTTGGAGCTCCGTTTAGTATCTCTTATTCAAAATTACTATATGACAGAATGTAAGAACTGTTACATGTTATTACTTGGTGTTCTGATAATCATACTTTGTCATGCAAAAAAAAAACACACAACAAAGTGAAAGATAGACCAATGGATTTTACTGTAACAAAGTATGAAAAGTTAACTGATATCATTTGAGATTCCACACTGCAACTTTCACAAAACCACCCTTTGTTACCTTTTGTGTAGTAGCAAAGAAGAATACCCACGATTATCTGAAAATGTTATACAAATACTCCTCCCTTTCCCAACTAAATATGGGTGTGAGGATGGATTTTCTTCATAATTCAATCAAAACAATGCATCACAACCAACTGAATGCAGAAACAGATATAAAAATCCAGCTGTCTTCTATTAAGACAGCTTCTCACTAATCTTTCAAAACAACAGCATTTTTCCTTTACATAATGCTATTCAGCGCTGACCAGTCAGTTGGTTGGGCATTGCTCTGCAAAGCTAAAGGTTGCTGATTCGATTCCCAATCAGGGCACATGCCTGGGTTGCAGGTTCCATCCCTGATTGGGCGCATACAAAAGGCAACTGATTGATGTTGCTCTCCCTCTCACCCTTCCCCTCTCTCTAAAAATAAATAGATAAATAAAATACTTTCAAAAATGCAACTTATATTAAGTTGTAATGGGTTATTTCTATTTATTATGGTGAATATCAAGATATATGTAGATATGTATATCCCACACTAAAATATATACATATATAAAAGACCCCAAAGAGCTTCTGAAGTACAAAAAGGAGTCCTCAGACCAAAAATCTGGACATCTCCAGTCAAGAATCCCACCGCCTGTCCAGCATATACGAGTAAATGAGGGTACCTAAGGACAATGTCTTTTGTATTTTGGGTCCTGAGAGAAATTAGTATGCTCAGTATTTGTTGCAAAATGCCAACGCCAGCTTCCAAGTTCTGCCAGAGGAGAGGGTGAGAATTCAGGACACTGCAGGAAATTTTTTTCTGTATTTCACTGACAGATGAAAGCATCTGATGCCATGCTAAAATCCAAGGAGCCTATGATCAGACACTTCCAAGGTCATAAAGGAATCTAGTGGGGAAGCTAAACTCAATTCCAAACTACGATATCAGACAGATCCTGAAGTGAAGGCTTCCTCGATATACAGTTTTCAACAAGAGACTTTTCATTTACATATTCATTTTTGTATTTGGTCAAAAATTCTCTCCTTCCTTCTTCCATCCTTCTTCCTCTAACCATGCTTTCACTGTTGATGTTCCTCTGAGCTCAGTCTTCTCACTTTGCCTGGCACATAGTAAACACTCGATAAACAGCAGCTGTAATTATTACCACAAACTCTCCCAAAGCAACCTGTTCCATCTACCTCCTGCATTCTTAACTTTCTGTCCTCACCCAGACCTCTGTCATGAGCTCCAAACCTACAGAATGATCTCCTGGGCCTTCCTACCTAGATGTGCTGCAGGGAGTTCAACTCAGCAGGTCCATCGTGTAACTCCAGTGTCTTTCTCCTCAAAGTTAAGTTAGATAAATAAAATAGTTATAGCTTATTTTATCAAATCAAGTCATGAAATCAGTTTACTCCAATTACAGTTAACCCTCAACTTAGTTCTTTTTATAAAAAGTTTAGTATTTTCTACCTCCTCTTAAGAAAAAAACTTTTTAAACTTTGTTAAGAAAAATTTTAGAGCTCAACTTTAAGATGTGCAAGTAACACATGGTTTTAAAAATTCTTTTCAGGATACATGAATAAGACCATTTAAAACCATGTTGTAGGAAAACCACAGATACTTATCAGGAAAGCAGCATCAGATTTGTGCCTGAGACCACTGTAGTGGCAAGTGTATGGACTGAATAGGAATGACTTTAGCCTGGGGGCAGGGAGCCAATGAGAAAACTGGGGAGCAGGCTACAGATAAGGAATTTACGGTGGTTCTACAGTGGGAATAGGGTTTAGAGAAAAGGATGATGGGGTGACCAAACCTGGTGGCAGAGAAGATGTAGGGAGAATGAGACACGAGCAGTCTGGAATGTTTCTGATTTTAGTGACCCTGTGGGTGTTGATGAAGAAGGAACTATCCAGAGGAGGGGCAGCTTGTTGATTGGCTAAATCAACAGGTGCTGAGGTTAAGGAAGATGTCTTTTGGAGTATCTGAGGGATGACTCCATAAAGAAGGGAGGATTAAAACATCTCCTAGATCCAGAAGAGAATTGTGAAGGCCAGAGAATGGGGATAATTGTGTTCCAAATGAGTCTGGGTTAAACACCTTTCTAATGTTTTATCAGAGCACACAGCACACAGCATGGCAAATGCTTGTTTAATTTATTAAAATCTCCCCTAAACTACAAGTTCCGTGAACACACCTGTCTTGTTCACCACTGTATCCTCCCAGCGCCTTCCATAGTGCCCTGGATCATTAAATATTTGTTAATTAAATGAAGGGATGAATGGATGGGTAAAAGAAGAGTTAAATTCCACATGATCTCAGATGCTGTTTGAATCGCTACAGTTTAGGAAAGTATTTTTCTATAGATATTGAACGTGGGGAAGGAAAAAAAGTGGGTATCCATGATAAATTCAGCCATGAAGGCTGAGAGAGGCTTGGGCTCACACCCGAGGGAGAATTTAAACCGCAGAGCGGCGGGAAAACGAAGGCACGGGGGCCTAGGGGAAGGGTACGCTGCAGGGTTCGGGTACCCAGAAGCGGACCTAAGTTCGCGGGCGGTGCAGCGGGGGAGCCGGGTTCCGATGAGGCGTGAAGTCCTCGACAGTGGAAGGCCGAGGCCCCCTGGCCTCCTAGGAGATGGAGAGGTGGCGGGCAGGAGTGGGACTGGGGCAGAATGGGCCGGAGGGCTGGGGACCTGCGTGAAGCGACCCAGGCAGAGAGAGGGAAGGAAGAGTTGGGCCGGCGGAGGGTCGTTCCCCCTGCTCCGCACCCACACTCACCTAGCGGACCCAGCTTCGCTCCAGCTCGGCGCCGGCTCCGCGTTGCTTCCTCCCCAGGCCTGTTCGGCGAGCGGGCGGGCTCAGGCGCCCCTAGCAACCACGCACTGGTACGCGACCCGCGCTCTCAGCCGCCAGCGCCGCTACCGCCTGCCACGCACTGCGCGCGCCCCCAGTGGACAGACCGAGGGCCTGGAAGGGGCGATCTCGGCGGGAGGGAGCTAAACGCGCGGAATCTCGGAGATTGTGGGACCTTAGGCAGGCCGTCACCGGCCTCGCGCACGCGCAGTAGCTTCAATGAGGAGGGACTCTGCAGCGGGATTCTGGGAGTTGTAGTCCAGAGACTAAGTCCCTGAAAGGCTCCCTCCAGGATTCTCCCTACAGTGGTTTCCCCAGACCCGCTTGGACTTTGGCCGTGCCTTAATTCACCCTTCTAAAATCAGATATCTCGGGCTTTACTAAAGAATCTTCTTAGTGTCCTTTCAAGTTTAAGTCTTTGAGTTTGACCCCAGGGAAGGTGAGACTGCCAGATCCACTGTTTCCCTCCAACCAAACGTCCCCTAACTCCAAACCACCCAGGTACAATTGTAAACACCTGTTTTATGGGCTTCACGTGTGGACAGTACCTCAATTCCTTATCTCCTCAAGCAAGATAGGTCGTGCCCCCTCAGTCTCAAATATCCCTAAACCTAATGGATTTTAATATCTAAACAGAGCAGGGGGGTGAAAAGATCTTTATTCTAAACAGTATGATATAGAAATAAAGGGGGCAATAAAAGATGAAACTAACCCAATGAAAACCATATAGACCAGAGCAAGAATGCTTAAATAATTTAGGCAATAGTCATTGATGGATGCTGAACTCATTATAGGATTGATGGAAGTGTACACTGGAAGGATGTTCGCCATCATCTGTATATTTTAAATAATCTTAGATCCTGAAAGGTGGGACAGCTATAAATTAAGTCGCCTGATGTGATGCAATTTGAACTACACAGTAATATTTATGTACTATATTTTTGTCAAAAAAGTTAAAAGTTGAATTTGAATCTAATCAAGCTTTTGGCTCCAATTTCCAAGTTATAGGAAATAGAAATAATTAACCACTACAAGAAAGCAATCAGACAAAGCCAGAATGTAGGCCAATGTACAAATAAGTGACCTTGTTTCTTTGACGATTTCAAGGTATAAAAAAAGACTGAGGTGTTCTAGATTATAGAAGAGTTAAGAGACATAATCAAATGCAATGATTGGACCTTGGTTGGATTCAAACAAACTGTAAAAAAATATTTTTGAAAAAATGAAGAAATCTGAATATGGACTGGGGATATAAGAACATAGCCAGTGTTAAGAAACCATTAATTTTTATTATTGTAGTTGACTGAGTGGTGCCTCCCCACCAAAAAAAGAGTATTTCTACGCCCTAATTCCAGGAACATGTTTCCTTATACTATGGTAAAAGCCATGATTAAGATTTTTTAAGAGGATGATTTGGGAAGGATTTAAGGAATTTTCCTGGATTATCTCAGTGAGCCCTAAGTCCAATGATGTGTCCTTTATGAAATAGAGGGAGATGTGACAGACACAGAGAAGACACAAAGAGGAGGATGCAATGTGACCACAGAGATGGAGATTAGAGTGATGTGCCTACAAGCCAAGGAATGCCTGGAGCCACCAGAAGGTGGAAGAGGCCAGGAAAGGATACTTCCCTAGAAACCTCTGAGGGAATGAGGTCCTTTGGAGAGCCTGATTTCAGACTTCTGGCCTCCAGAGCTGTGAGAGAATAAATTTCTGTTTTAAGTCACTAAATTCATGGAAATTTGTTGTGGCAGCAACAGACTATTTTGACATTTTAGTTATTTAAGAAAATATCTTTATTTTTAACAGACACATATAGATTTTGGGGGGGGGTATTAAATGACATGATGCCAGGTATTTGTTTTTACTTTAAAATACTGCAGCAAACACCCCAGGCGCAACAAGCATACCTAGCACCCATGTCTTTGTTTCTAATACAGTCGCCAATATACAATGATCAACTTAGAATTTTTAACTTTATGATGGTGTGAAAGTGGTATGCATTCAGTAGAAATCATACTTCAGATTTTGAATTTAATCTTCTCCCAGATTAGTGATATGCAGTATGATACTCTCTTGTGATGCAAGTAATTTTAGTTCAATTCTTCAAACATTCTTTATATCCCTAGTGCTTTCAGCTATGTATGTTAATGATAAATATCCATACAACCATTGTTTTTCACTTTCAGTACAGTATTCAACACTGTACTATAAAATAGGCTTTGTGTTAGATGATTTTGCCCAAATGTTGGCTAATGTAAGTGTTCTTAGTACATTTAAGGTAGGCTGGACTAAGCTATGATGTTTGGTAGGTTAGGTATATTAAATACATTTTCAAATTACATTATTTTCAACTTATGCTGGATTTATTAGGACATAACCCCATTGTAAGTTGAGCATCTGTACTGTTCTCTCCCCCTTTTCTTTCTCTAAGGTAGAAGGGAGAAAGAGAGGAAGAGAAACATCAGTGTGCGGGAGATACATCAATCAGTTGCCTCTGGCACACCCCCAACTGGAGACCGGGCCCGCAACCCATGCATATGCCCTGGCTGGGAATCGAACTGGCTACCTTTTAATTTGAGTTTGCAGGCCAGCACTCAAACCACTGAGCCACACCAGCCAGGGCAATGTACCATTCTCATTTAAAAGGAACCAGGACTCCTTGGAGAAGTGGCTGATTCTAGGACTGGGGCAGGAAATACACAAAATGAGTCTGAAGTATCTTCTGGTACCAGAAAGGTGTTCAAAAAAACAAAACAAAACCACATTGTTGGGAATATGTCCCAGGAGCTAACTCAAAGAACTTCCATTCATGGCCTTTGACTACTCCCTTCCCCTCTTTCTACCAGTTCCCCTACCCTTTTCCTCTGGCAACTGTCAGTCTGCAGTCCATTTCCATGTCTCTGATTCTGCTTTTTGCTTATTACTTTATTTTGTTCATTAGATTCCTCTTATGAGTGATATCATATGGCATTTGCCTTTCACCAACTGGTTTATTTCACTTAGCATCATAGTCTCCAGTTCCATCATGCTGTCTCAAAGGGTAGGACAAAGGGAGAAAAATTGGAACAACTGTAATAGAATAAATGAGAAGCAAATTTTAAAAATTAAGTTAAAGAAAAAAATAACTTCCAATGACCAAAGCTGACACAATATGGACAAAATTAAATAAAGTAGTAGTAGTTTATAATCCAAAATACAAAACAGATATCCATGAGTCCGTGGTATAAATAAATGACTGAGTATGTCCACGTGGTAAGAAGACAAATCTCCTGTGCAGAAGAATTCCAAATTATGGAGATGCTCAGCCTCAGAGGAGGGAGAGCATTACTCTCTACTACTTCAAGTGTGGGCTGTGAAGAGTGACTTATTTCCAAGTAGCATAGTATAAAAAGGGGGATGGGGTAGGGGGAAAGTAACACTAGAAAAATCTGACAAATGCTACTTCAGCCAGGTGATCAAGATCAACATCAAGTCACAAATCATGTAGATAGTATGTGCCTTTGATATGTGATGAAAATGGCACTTCACTTTTGTGATCTTCCTCCCCAAACCCATAACCCAAGTCTAATCCTGAGAAACATCAGACAAATTCCAATAAAGGGACATCCTACAAAATACCTGACCAATACTTCTCAAAATTGTCAAGGTCATCAAAAACAAGAAACTTCTGAGACACAGATACAGCCAGAGGAACCCCAGGAGACAACTAACTATAATTGGAACAAAAAAGGGACATTAGGTAAAAACTAAGGAAATCTGAATACATATGGATTTTAGTTAATAATACATAGATATTGGTCCACTAATTGTAACAAATGTATTATAATAATGTAAGATGTTAATAATAGGAGAAAATGTGGGGTAGGGTTGGTTTAACTCTCTGTATTGTCTGCTCAATTTTTCTGTAAATCTAAAACTTTCCTAAAATATAAAGTCTATTTTTTAAAAAAGCTACAGCAGCCCTAGCTGGTGTGACTCAGTGGATTGAATGCTGGCCTGCAAACCAAAGGGTCATGGGTTCAATTCCCTGTCTAGGGCATATGCCGGGGTTGCGGGCCAGGTCCCCAGTATGGGGCATGTGAGAGGCAACCACACAGTAATGATTCTCTCCCTTTCTCCCTTCCTTCCCACCTCTAAAAATAAATAAAATATATTTTTTTTAATTTTTAAAGAAAAGCTACAGCAGCAAAAATTTGCCCAGCCCACCTGAGCCAAGTGATCAGGAGTAACTTCACCAACAACGGGAAAAAATCACCATTATCAGCCTCCAGGCAACATCATAACTTACGTAGTGTTTCTGCCAAAAAATGTGTAACCTGAATCAAATCACAAAGAAACATCAGATATACCCAAATTGGCCAGTACTCTTTAAAACGTCATAAAAGATAAGGGAAAAGAATGGTTCTAGAGGCTAAAGAGACATCTTAAGCAAATATAAATTATGATCTCTGGTTGGATCCTGGACCAGGACAAAAGCTGGAATAAAAAGCATTATTGGAATGATTGGCAATACAATGGAATCTCCATTCTGTAACTTAATTTGTTCCAGAAAATTGTTCGAGGCGTGATTTGTTCAAAAACAGAATCTCCTTTGTCTCCTGAGAGTCACATGATTGATCATACAGGTATCAGCATGAGAGGGCTGTTGGGTAGAGAATCAAGACCCAAAGTTTTGTTAAGACAATTGAGACATTTTTTCCATGAACAACTTGTTCAAGAACCAAATTGTTCAAGAACTGAAGTGTTTGTGAAGAGGTTTAACTGTAGTTGAGTATCAAGAGGTGTAGATTAGCTCATTACATATTTAAAGGTAAAAAGGCATATTTACAACTTACTCTCAAATGGTTCAGAAAAATATGATAAAATTAACTGTGGCAAAATACTAACAACTAGTTAATAGGGTGAAGGGTATATGGGAGTTCTTTGCACTATTCTTACAAATGTTCTTTAAATTTATTTTAAAATAGAATACTCTTTAATAGCAATGACAAAATTTCAAAAGGAATAAGTAGAACCAATGTGGCAAAACATTGATAACAGCTGAATCTGCGGGATCAGGCCATG